AAACAAAGGGAACAATATGATGTTTGTTATTATTAAAATTTTATATAGCCCACGTTTTTATAAACATTTTTTTTTATTATTTACCGCTTAGGCAATAATATTTACTTCAACATACGTTGTCTATGACCAAAAATGTTTTCAGTGGACTTTTAACATTTGCTTTGCTTGAGAAAACAAAAGTATACAGTTACAGTTTTTTTTTTCTTCTTTTGATTTAGTCCAGTTGGTTTTGCATCAAACACAATGTGATTCTCGGCAATTGAGATCTGACAGCAACAGCGCATTTTTCCACTTGTGCAAACGCTTCGCGCATGAAATCTGCCGCAGCAGACCAGCAAATCACTGAGAACGAAAAAAAAAATAAGTTACAGTTTTTTTTTTCTTCTTTTGATTTAGTCCAGTTGGTTTTGCATCAAACACAATGTGATTCTCGGCAATTGAGATCTGACAGCAACAGCGCATTTTTCCACTTGTGCAAACGCTTCGCGCATGAAATCTGCCGCAGCAGACCAGCAAATCACTGAGAACGCACTATAATCCTGACGAGTCATAGCAAGAGAGCGGAGGCGAGAAAGCTGCGGAGAATCCGCTCGCCAGGAAGCAACCGCAACTGGTAGATTTAAAGAAAATGACTCCCGTTTGGCCAAAAAAATATTGTATGTACTTATTCCTAACTCTTTACTCGCGAACAGCTTACCTCACGCATTAAATCTGCCGCAGACCAGCAAATCACTGAGAACGCACTATAATCCTGACGAGTCATAGCAAGAGAGCGGAGGCGAGAAAGCTGCGGAGAATCCGCTCGCCAGGAAGCAACCGCAACTGGTAGATTTAAAGAAAATGACTCCCGTTTGGCCAAAAAAATATTGTATGTACTTATTCCTAACTCTTTAAGCTTTAAGTTACATTTCAAATGACAAGGGATCAACTTATAATCATGTTAATATTAATTATCCCTTGAACTTATTCTCTCAAATGGCCTGGGTATGCGGAGCATTCGCAGCTTATATGGACGGAACGCCACTGATATATATATATATATATATATATGTATAGTATATATATATACAGTATATATATGTGTGTGTGTGTGTGTGTGTGTAACAATAACAATCATACATTTTAAGTATGTTTTCACTGTCTTGATGTTTTGGGGGAACACTGCAACACTAAATATTACTTTCAAATAAAGAAGAGAAAAATATTAACATGAGTTGTTGGAAACAGATCTTTGGATTTCATAGCAAACTTCCTTTCAGCATAACATTTGTGCACTACAAGAGAAGGGAAGGCCATTCAAAATTCAAGATTGATTTACTTCGTCAATATGATGTACAGGTTACATCTGCAGTTGTCAAGACATTGGGCAAAAAAATCAAGACCTAGTCACTTATAATTATATACTTTGCCCATATATTTGCCTTTTATAAATCAGGCCCTAGAGCTGGTGATATGTTTGATTTAAAAATTTTTTTTTTGCCCAGATGTATTTTCATGTTTGCAAACCAGCTTTACTTACTTTTACAAGATAACTGTAAAATAGTTGTGGGAAAATGTACTATTCTTGAGTAAAGATAATGGCCATAAGCCAGTTCAAATAAGTAATGGATCTGTTGTCTTCTGTGATGATTTTTTGGTGTGTAATTTTAAACTAAAAGCACATATAATCAGCCATTCCAGGATTTTCTGTCTCATGTATGAAATGAATGCTGTCTAGGATCCACTGATCTGTTATGATTTTTTCCCTCACTGTAAGACATGTAGACAGCGTTTAACTGAAATATGTTAATTTCTTGTATTTTGATTTGCTTTGGTTTTATCAATGACTTTTTTTTATAAGAAATTATTCTTACCAAAGTCTTGCGTAGATGTTTTGTAGTTGTCTCTCTTCCTTGTTGTTCCTCTTACATGATTCATACTTTTTGAATATTTCACCTTTACAATAAAAGGAAAAGTAAGAAAGTGCCTAATTCATTTTCTGATTATTTGCACAAAAGGTGTCATCATATAACTCCACAGATTATAACAGTACAAATTCATCTAAATAACAAATTTGTTGTGCCACAAGGCTTGGTCTTGGGCACTTTGTTGTTCTCCACACAGTTGCATATTATCTGCATGAAAAAATGTTTTTTCTTTTTTTTTATGGTTGAGCCGTAAAACTGCAAATACCATATATGTGTGTGTGTGTGTGTGTGTGTGTACTCGTTTATGATACATTGTGGTGACCAAATGTCCCCACAAGGATAGTCAAACCTGAACATTTTGACATTGTGGGGACAATGTTGACATTTTGACAGCCTGCGGTCCCCAAAATAGTAAATTATGTTTATCTGAAAGTGTAACAATGCAAACAGGTTTTCTGTGAGGGGTAGGTTTGTGTGTGTGTGCGCGCGCTTTTTTTGTGACACATTGAAAACAATAGTTTATAAATAAATAAATAAAGTTTGACATAGCAGTTAGCCTACTGTGTACCTTACCTGTCTAGAAAACTAGGCCATCTCTGGGTTGGATTTAAATCATTTGAAGTCTTGGTGCTGTCGCCATCTCTGAAAAAGCAATTTGATGTTAATACAACTCTTTTTGCTTGTGACCTCTTCTCTTAACAAGGTTTCAACAGATAGACAACAGATAATTCCTCAGATGGCTGCCTTTTGAATTATCTATTGTATTAATAATAAAGTTGCTAATTACTGATGGCTACAAGCTGTCAGAACTAACACTTCTCAGACAACACTGCACACTTACTGCATACTTTCCCTGGCTGCTGAAATTTTTAGCTTATTATTATGAAAGGAGTGAAATTATTTCCTTATGAAATAAATTCTTTGTGAAGCCAAACACTCAGGAACTCTCGCAATGCAAATGCCATGC